TTGAGGACTTGGATGATAATGAAGAAACATTCCTAAGTTGTATTCGGACCCTCCTCGTGGATTTCAAGTGAAGACCCCTTATTCCAGACACGTCGAGATTACATGTTGTACGTTATATCCTGACTCAGCCCAAACATGCTGACGATTGGCGTCGTCATGCTATTTTCCATACTTACATCAAGATCAATAATAAAGGTTGTAAAATCATTGTGGATAGTGGTAGTTGTATTAATTCAGTTTTGATGGCTACTGTAACCCGTTTGTGGTTGAAATCGGTACCTCAACCTCAGCCATATAGCATCTCTTAGGTTGATACCTCCTCGATAGCTATGAAGGAACGTTGTCTAGTACCTATTCAGTTTCTCAAGTATAAGGATCATATATGGTGCGACGTCATTTCAATGGATGTCTGTCACGTCATTCTTGGTCGCCCTTGGTTGTTCGATTTGGATGTAACCATTTATGGTCGATCCAATTCATGTTCCTTTGTGTTTAATGGAAAGAAGATCCACCTTAACCCACTTCCACCGAGACCTGTTGGTTTGCATGACGTAAAGAAAAGCGAGGAACGAAAGGGTTTACATATCATTAATCCTACAGAGTTCGAACGCACGCTCGTGGGCGATTCGATTGTGTTTGCCTTGGTTGTCCTGGAGGTTCCATCGAGTTTCCCATTAGTAGACCCTACTGAAGCTCGGGCTATCATTCAAGAGTTCCAATATGTGTTCCCTGAGGACTTACTTGACGAATTACCTCCTCTCTACGGGACATCCAACATGCCATAGATTTGGTATCAGGAGCGTCACTTCCAAATTTGCTCATTATAGGATGAACCCTACTGAACACGCTGAACTACAGAGACAAGTGGAGGAACTCCTTCACAAAGGATTCATCCGTGAGAGTTTAAGTCCTTATGCAGTTTCTGCGCTGTTGACGTCTAAGAAAGATGGCTCTTGGAGGATGTGTGTAGATAGTCGTGCCATCAATAGGATCACGGTCAAGTATCGCTTTCCCATTCCTAGGCTTGATGACATGTTAGATATGATGGTTGGCGCTACGATATTTTCTATAATTGATTTGAAGAGTGAATATCACCAGATTAGGATCCGCCCAAGAGATGAGTGGAAGACCGCTTTTAAAACAAAAGACGGTCTTTATGAGTGGTTAGTAATGCCTTTTGGCCTAACCAACGCCTCGAGCACTTTTATGCGAGCAATGACACAAACCCTTCGTCCTTTCATGGGTAAGTTCCTTGTCATCTACTTTTGACGACATTCTCGTCTATAGTACAACGAAGGAACAACGTCGAGATCATCTTCAGCAAGTTTGTTCTGCCCTTCGGGCAACAAAATTGTATGCTAACATCAAGAGATGCTTGTTCTCCATTGATAGAGTTGTTTTTCTGGGTTTCATAGTATCCCTGCGGGGCATCTGCCGATCCTGCCAAAATTCAGACGATTGTTGATTGACCTGAGCCTAAGAATGTACATGATATCAGGAGTTTCCATGGCCTAACTACCTTTTACCGTCGCTTCATCAAGGGGTTTAGCACAATCGTGGCTCCCATTACGGAATACATGAAAAAAGAAAAGTTTCAATAGATACAGGAAGCGACTAAGGCTTTTAAACTAGTTAAGAAGCAAATGATGGAACCTCCTGTCATGCGCCTTCCTGACTTCGTCAAGGCTTTTGAAGTTGAGTGCGATGCCTCCGGGGTAGGCATAGGTGGAGTCCTTAGTCAGGAACGCTACCCTGTCGCTTATTTTAGTGAGAAGTTGAACGATACCAAACAACAGTACTCAACTTATGATAAGGAATTATACGCAGTTGTGCACGCTTTGCGATATTGGCGTCATTATTTGTTGCCCCTAGAATTTGTTCTTTATTCAGACTATGAGGCGCTTCGTTATCTCACCTCCCAGAAGAGATTGAATTCTAGGCACGGTCGCTGGGTTGAGTATTTAGAGGCCTATTCTTTTGTTTTAAAACATAAGAAAGGTGTTGAAAACCAGGCGGCTGATGCATTAAGTCGTCGTATCTCCCTTTTGTCAATCATGAACGTTAAAGTCATAGGTTTTGAACGACTAAGGAAGAGTACGAAACTTGTCCTGACTTTAAGGTTATCTTTCTTGATTTGCAAAATGGACAATCGGATACTGTGGACGGTTTTCGCCTTGAGGAAGGTTATCTTTTTCGAGCTAATAAATTGTGCATCCCTCGCACTTCGGTGCGAGATTTCATAGTTTGGGAAATTCATGCAGGAGGTTTAGCCGGTCACTTTGGGCGAGATAAGACCATAGAAGAGATTGAACGTCAATTCTATTGGCCTAGGNGAAGCGACTAAGGCTTTTAAACTAGTTAAGAAGCAAATGATGGAACCTCCTGTCATGCGCCTTCCTGACTTCGTCAAGGCTTTTGAAGTTGAGTGCGATGCCTCCGGGGTAGGCATAGGTGGAGTCCTTAGTCAGGAACGCTACCCTGTCGCTTATTTTAGTGAGAAGTCAAACGATACCAAACAACAGTACTCAACTTATGATAAGGAATTATACGCAGTTGTGCACGCTTTGCGATATTGGCGTCATTATTTGCTACCCCAAGAATTTGTTCTTTATTCGAACCATGAGGCCCTTCGTCATCTCACCGCCCAGAAAAGGTTAATTCTAGACACAGCCGCTGAGTTGAATATTTACAAGCTTATATGTTTTTGTTTTGAAACATAAGAAGGGGATTGAGAACCAGGAGGTTGATGCTTTAAGTCATCGTGTCTCCCTTTTGTCGGTTATGAACATCAAGGTCATAGGTTTTGAACGCCTTAAGGAAGATTTCGAGACATGTCCCGATTTTAAGAATGTTTTTCTTGATTTACAAGGAGGACGGTCAGATACTGTGGACGGCTTTTGCCTCTTTTTTCGAGCCAATAAATTGTGCATTCCTCAAACTTTAATGCGAGACTTCATAGTACGGGAGGCTTAGCCGGTCAGTTTAGGCGAGAGATAAGACCATAGAGGAGATTGAACGTCAATTCTACTGACCTAGTTTAAAGAAAGATGTGGTCAAGATATTTAGTACTTGTAACACCTGTCAATTGGCCAAATAGAAGAGGCAAAACACAGGCCTATACACACCTCTTCCCGTTCCTGATTGTCCTTGGCAAGATGTGAGTATGGATTTTGTGTTAGGGCTTCCACGTACCCCGAAAAAACATGATTCTATTTTTGTGGTAGTGGTTTGTTTCTCAAAAATGACTTATTTTATCCCTTGTAGCAAAACCTCAGATGCATCCAGGGTTGCCACCTTACACTTTAATGAAATTGTTAAATTGTATGACATTCCTAAAACCATTGTGTCAGACAGGGATGTGCGGTTCACTAGTCACTTTTGGAGAACGTTGTGGCACAAGGTCGGTACAAAGTTGAAATTTTCTATTGCCTATCACCCGCAGACTGACGGTCAAACATAAGTGGTTAATCATAGTCTTGGTAGTTTATTAAGGTGTCTGCTCTAAGAAAATCTTAGAAATTGGGATTTAATTCTTCCGACAGCTCAAATTGCATACAACGGTTCCATGAATCAGTTGCTAGGTACGAGTCCATTTGAAGTCGTTCATGGTTTTAAGCCTAGGAAGCCTTTAGATCTCATCCCGATATCCCCACATGATAGAGTGTCTATGTCAGCTGAAGCATTTGCACAACATCTTCATGACCTACATATCGAGATCAATAAACAACTTGAAGCTAGTAACACATCTTATAAACTTCGTGCTGATTTACGTAAAAGACATGTTAAATTTAATATTGGAGATTATGTCACGACCAGAGCGACGTCTACATGGGCCCGCCTCTGAATTGCAAGCTCGTGGCGCTGGTTTTTTTTTAAATTTTAAAGCAAGTTGGCCCAAATGCTTATGTTCTCGACCTTCCGCCACATCTTGGCCACATCTTGGCTACCATCATACCTTCAATGTTGAGGATTTAATTGCTTATAAAGACCATTTCGATCCCTCCGATAATCCTTCCCTACCTCCATCTGTGGACCTTGACCCTGATTCTCTTGCTACTTTTAACCCAATGCCACATTTTCCAGCACACAAAGATAAAATTGATGCTATTTTAGATGAACAAATTGTGTTGACTAAAGTTGGGGATGTTCAGCGCTTCGTTGTTCGTTGGTTGATCTGCCTGAGTCTGATTGCACATAGATTCCTATAGAGACACTACAGCAGCTTCACCCAGACTTTTTGGAGCTCTATCGAAGTCAGTATGATCTTCATTTGCCCGGTTCTCCTTCCACGCATCCAGGGGATGTTGGTGGAGACACCAGATTTCGACCACCACGACACTCTTTTATTGACGTCGGAGGAAGCTCAACCAATCCCTGAATTTATGGTTGGAAGATTGATTGCAGCCTTTTTTTCTACCTATCCACTCGACAGGGTTGAGTTTTCTTCCACCCCGAGAGAGTTGATGCAGACATCATCGAGATCAAGATTTATTTTATTGTTATTGGACTTATTATTTATATTTTTATTATTGGGCTTGTAGTAGCGGGTTGGCCCAAACCCTTCAAGTTAGGTTTTTGCTATTTAACAGATTTTTCATTGTTCATGGAATTAGTTGATGATTGAATAAAATTTTGCTTTGACGATTGCGTTTTCCCGTTCTCTTTCACGCTTCTTTCTCTTTCCCCTTCCCTTCTCTTATATAATAGCTAATGGCTTCTAAAATTCTAGAATTTACTCAGTAATGTACAAAATATAGTCTGATCCACAGTTTCAAGGAAAAAATGAGGAAGAAGGGATGTTTCATTCAACTTGTTCAACAAGGAACACTATACAGTTCTTATATAATAGCCAAACCCCTAGACGACGTGGAACCACAATATGGCTTCTACAATTCAGGAATTTACTCAGGAATGCATGGAATATATATATAGTTTGATCCCCATTTTTGAGGAAAAATGATGAACAAAAATGTGCTTAACACCTTGACTAAGATGTAATAAACCAATACGTTCAGATCAGTTCTGGGTTTTTTCGGTCGGACCAGGCGGTCTGGTTCCAGTCCACTTTTGATAGTATTGGTTCAAAGAGGGGTGATTAAGTACGATTATTTCTTCTCAAAAAGTTGATGATTTAGTTACTATTGAGATGTGAAAATGATTCAAACATGTCAGGATGACTGATGTTTTATGGTTTAGTCTGTGAGATTACCAGTAGCTAAGGGTCATCTCACAGACAAAGACTTGGAACACGTTCATGTATCAATTGTCCTATTTTTCTGTGTTTTTATTCCAATTTTTGATAACTTAAGTACAAAACAGTCCTCTGATATCATCAAAGTGAAAAGTTAAACATTCTGTTCGAAATGGCTTTCCAGTTTAGTAGTATAGCCTCCTCGGTTTGTGACATAACGGCTTTTGGGTCAATCCTAGATGGCCTTTTCTGCCTTTCTAACAGAAAACAGTCAGAAAATATCGGTATGGGATGGAGAAAAAAATTAGCAATAAAGTGAGCATAGGTTGAATATAGCAACAAATTTTAAATTGAGAAGGCAAGAATTAGCTTTACTACTGTGATCCTGTAGATTCAATTGATAAAAAACTGAGGCTTACCTGAAATTCTTTGCCTTTCTCATTTGAAGGCTTTACTGAGATAAAATCTCTAGATAACAGGAATGGCCGGTTTTTTCCAACCTCAAATGCTACAAATATTTTTTTATCTTTTCCCTTACGCTTATATCTTGAGAGATAACCGACCTTGACAAGAATTTCAGCATTGTGCAACTCCAGATTTACATTCTTCATCTCAAACCCATCCCATTTCTGATCCAAGAAAGCAAAATTGAAGATTTTATAGTCATACAACGTCTTTAGTTCTTTACATATAATGAGCACACTTGTAGATACCCAAGTTAGAGTGAAAGAATACAAATAAATTCCCTAAACAAAATAAAACAGTGATTTCAAGAATCCATCAAAATATAGAGCTTCTTTTTTTTTTTGATAAGTAAAATGATATATTAAGGATAAATATAGAGCTTCTTTGTTTGTTTATATTTTCAAGGATTACGAGTTCTAAACATTTATCCAATCAGAAGATTAAAAAATGTTACTAGAATAAGTAAAAAGCAGAAAGAACAACTACCAACTACCATCATTAACTTTAAAACATGGACAAAATATGAATGTATGATGATACTTTTTATTGAGTTCCGAGAAGGTAGAGCGTCGATTGAGGTAGGATCACCATTCGACAACAGTTTATCGTAAATAACAAAGATTCACAATTTGAGAACCTCAAAAACAGTCTGAAGACTTAAAACCAGATATTGTGATTATGTGCTAAAACAACTTCCAGCATCACTAGAGTTTGGTTTGTTACTAGAAAAACTCAAGCTAATAAAGGAAACTGAAAATTCGGAACCTCGATCATTGAAGCAATTAACATATATTTCTTAAGTCTAAAATTAAATGAGAAAACACATTGCCAACTTAATGAACGATTATGTCTTGTTACTCTAACATCTCCCTCTAAATTGGGTTGGGTGCAATGATCCCCACTAATGCACTGAAAGTTTAAGAAACAATAAGAATTAACGGGCAAAGTTGAAAGTACTCATTCTTATTATGTATTTTTTTCTAGAAGAAAGGTCATATTTAATCAAATACAAGGCCACAGGAAGATCCAAACTTTGTAACCTCAGAAGGCTATACTTTGCAGAGCAGAACATATTTGGACTGTTACAATTGCTCCTGCACTTCCCTTTTTCCCTGAGTTTGTATATTAACATTTTCGTAGCGTAACAATATACTTCTTGATCTTTGAAGTTTGAGATACATAAAAGATTTAATCCTGCTACATTATAGCAATTATAAACAATAACATAACATGTCAATGGAAAGCTATATGACAGGTAAATAATCACCTTGAGGTAACAATCCTCGGCATAAAGTAGAGCATGGAAGTAATTTTTGTACGTCGACATAGACAGAGGCTGCTTGAGCACTCCCGGAACAATTTCTTTCTCAATTGAACTTTTGATGTCCTCTGGAAAAACATAGGTAGTTGAACCCTCAACCAATATATAATTAGTTGTTCCCTGCTGATATGTCGAAGACGAGGTCTGCAACAAGGTTGGTTTTGTGGATAGTGGACGTGGTTTTGGTGAAGGAGATCTCTCTAACAAAGATGATGCCGATGATGACTTAGACAAATGTGATGCAACAAGTGATTTAAAGGAGGACTGAGATTCTCGCGAAGTGGCTGAAGATACATTCTCGAGTAATCCCTTTCCCTTCTGACAGCCATCAATTGATTTCTGCGGTTCCAAAGGTCGTGTTGAAACTGCTTTCACGGATGATGGTGTTGAAGTGACTGGAGCCAAACCTTTTAAGTTTTCTAACAAAGAAGAAGATGATGATGATAGTGATGGTGACTTGACTGAATGCAATGTGACGGGGAATTTAAAGGAAGACCGAGATTCTTGAGAAGAAGCTGAATTTACATTCTGGGCGGCTAATCCCTTTCTCTTTTGAACCTCTTCAATTGGCTTCAGAGGATTGAAAGGTGGAGTTTGAACTGTTTTCACGAATGATGATGTCGAGGACGAAGAAGAAGAATCTTTCAAATTCTGATCACGAAATTTAAAGGGCTTGTCTACCTTTTTCTCGGGATTATGATCTCTCTTAATTACATTCGAATGATCAATACTATTCTTTCCAGACTCTATCGACCTATAATTGTACTCAACAATTCCAGGTGACTTAACTGGAATTGAACTTTTGAAAGTGGTATCTCGGGACAGAATGGATGAAGCATTCGACGAAAGTTGATTATTTTCGTAGTGAAATCTTGCTGCATTGGTGGTGGTGGTTGGTCGGAATCTAATCCACTGGAGTTTAGAACAAATGTAAGAAACGAAATCATCACGGTCAACAATTTCAAAATATCCATACCGATTCCTTTCAATCACAAGCTTTTCGTCTTCTTCACAGCAAAGAATACATTGCAAAATATTAAGAAATCCCATCTTGTTTCCACCACTTTGCTAAATCCTATTATTAGCACAGCCTACCACCAAAGAACGAAAAACAAAAATTAGTCGAAAAGGGGTGACGAAATCGGCCACACTCCAAAATTTGTCAATAAGTAACTGGGAATATTGATAAATTTGAATTTAAGATCGGCCTACGCAGTGAAAGATCAGACTCCAAAATTTGTAAATCAGTAATTGGGAAATATAGCATACACTCATACATTTGCCTACATGCATAGGCTTTCATGTGCAGCGGTGCGATCGTCCTTGTTTACCAGAAGGGTGTGGGCATACCTGAGAATTTCCCCGATGTCTATCCCAGGTAGGATTGAGCAGAGAATGAAGAAATCAGCAACTTGAACAGCACAAATGAGGGGTAATTCTATGATAAAAATGGATTTTCAAGATTTTAGCTGGAAATCGGTGAGCCTGCCTGCATGCATCTGAGTAGAAAGAGAGTAAAGTAGAGACACCACGATTTGAATACTGCTGCAAAGCAAGGGAAAATAAAAGAAGAGACTTTAGGAAGACTTCCAACAGCCAATAATAGCTCTTCTTCCCCTACGTTTGTCGGGCATGTTTGGCTAAGGAAACATAAGTAAACTTACTTATATGTAAATAATTATGTTTTCAAATATATAATTTTTTTCATTTGTTAAAATTAAATACTTATTTTGACAATAAAATAAGAATTACTTTGAAGAAACGAAATTGGAAGGTATTTACGGATGTAGGTCTCAGCATCATCGGATGGATTCTTTTGGATATTTTAATACTTGAAATCATCAATTATACTTTGAATATTTCAGAAACGATACCATTCATGTCCACACAATTGTTGCAACCAACCCGAATCAGAACCATTG